AGAGGAAGAGAGATAGATAGAGAGATAGATAGAGAGAGAGAGAGAGATAGAGAGAGAGAGAGAGAGAGAGTGTGTGTGTAATAATAAGAAATACATGTATAAATTTTACATGCAAATTAAAAATCTGGACTTTGTGAAAGAAAGTCAAGGCAAACCGAAAGGTCATAAATCTCGCCATACATTCATGCATAATTTAATTAACTCTACAATAAGAAAACTGCTTGTATTTTATATTACTATCTGTACATTATCAAATTTAAATTCAACTTTATTCAAGTTTATTCTTTTCGTAATGGTTATATAGTAATAGGTGTGAATTAACAAATCTTAAAATTGTGAGATGATTTTAAAATGTGTGGGCAGGGAAGGTAGGCGATTTTAATAAAGTAGTACAAAATGGTTATTGGAAGGTAATGCGAAATTGTTCCTAGGCTTCTAACGCACTGTTGGTTTCTATACCCCACACCACTTATGATACAAAGGTGTATTAAGATTGGGCGCACCTAGAAGGATTTGAAATAGATCCACTTTTTGCTAGGCCAACCGCGTTAGAATCACTTTCTGGATCAATTTAAACTTGTCTGAGACTATTTCATAAATCATGGAGAAATTTCATACATATATTTATAAATGTGCAATTTTGTCCATTGTTGTGTCTACACTATCTGCATTCAATGTCATGAACTTTTGAATTTGGTTTTACGCTGTCAACGTAGATGTACAAACCTACAATATCAATTTACATAACTATTTATACCCATCGAAATCCCAAAATGTGATCATTAAATAAGCTTTCAATGTTCACAAATACTCTTCTTCCGCTTTGAAAGCTTTTCAATGCATAATGCATATATCCGACATATGAAATAACAATCTTAACGTAAGCCTTTGCAAAGCCAAACATTGCCAAAGTGGACGTATTGAACAAAAAAAATGTTTAAAGAAGAAAGAAATTGAATGTAAAGTATCTGCGCTAAGATGATATATGTATGCCTGTTATCTGTTTGTCAGTTAATTTTAACTTAACTATAACGATCTGAGTTTTATCGAAAGAAATTCAATTCATGACAGTGGAGAGACAATGATTTATTGAATGCATTAAATATTAGGAAATGTCATAAAATTCATTATTTCATTTTCTCATTAAATCGTTCTCACATTAAAAGACAAGTCAAACTACGCTCATATCTAATACAACAGATTTGATATTTTTCCGGCGGATCATTACGTGCATTTTTTTTTAAAGGTTTTGCAGCTCAGTCAATAAATTGTCAATAATATCTATGACTTTCAAAATGAATATTTATTTTATTTATAATAGGCACAGCACAGCAGGACATTATAACAATCAGAGATAGTTATCCGCAATTTATACGAATTTTTAACCGTTAAACCCGCTAAGAAATAGACATGCGTAATATCATAACAGTAATAATAATAATTTTTTTTTTTTTTATCTAAGATTTTTAAAAATTTAAAGTTTTAGCAAGTGATTCTAAATGTTTTTTTTTTTTTTTTATAAAAATAGTTTTCTTCTCCTTTTTTGTCATGATAAATGTATTTTAAAAAGAAATTAACGATTATTTTTGCAATGTTCGATTAAAATTAAGTTTTTGTTAGTTTAAAGTGCCCATTTATTAGCAGGTTCAGGTTCATCAACAGGACACAATAAAAATACAGTTAAACTAACGAAAACACTTACCTGTTGCCATTCAAGTTTTGTGTCTTCTTCAAGGGTTGTTCTGCTCTCTACAGGTGGTCGCAAAATTGATATATACTTTTTATGCAAACAAATTGCATTAAGAGCCCAAGGCAGTCCATTACATGATAATATGAGCAAATTGTGAAATATGATCCAGAAATAGGCAGAGAAAGTTAATATATTTCATATTAAGACCGAGACCAATAAACAGAATAAAGGAAAGAAAACAAAACAGGAAAAAAAATAAAAATAAAAAAATATAAGAAAAAGAATAAAGGAGGAAAATAGATGATAGAAATCAATAGAGCGTATGTTGTTGCGACACTAATAGCTATAATAGTTATAATTTGTGCAAGTTAATGAACCGATGACTATATGACACCGATACAACTAGTATATACATAATTGTTGTCACAGCATCATTATAAATTTGTTCGTATGTGTCAAAGGCAAAGGCATAAACTATGTGTTTTTTCTTATTTCTAAAACGTTTTTTTTTTTTTTTTTTTGTTCACCCACCACTCAGGGGGATATTTTCCCTATACATGTAAATAGGATAGCGAAGAATTGGAAGGACTGTATGAAAATAATGGGCAGGAGTGGGAAAAACGGGGATATGTGAAGAGAGGTCCTGATAATAATATTTGCCTTAGTACACAATATTGTGTTTCGTTCTTGTACACACAAGCAAAGTGTGCCTGCATAATAACATTGCCACTTGATTGGATCCTTATTGAAACATGCACATAAGTCTCTTTATATTAAAGCATAAAAATGTAAAAATTTCTCTGTCCGTCCGCCATCGAATTGCTCTCAGTGGTCCAAAATTTCAGTTAGACTATGACTATAAGCAACAATTAGAAAAGTGCGTTAAATTCAAAAACTATCACTTAAAAATGAAATATCGAAAGATAGGGGGATATGTAATCAGGCATATAATTTGTAATAACAGATACATATATTTATTATGTGAGGTAGAAATTGATCCAATCGTTTAGTTGATTAAAAAACAAAACCATATGATGTTAATGTATTCGTTTGAGATGGTAGTTGTCGCGCCCAAAGCTGGGCATAACTATCTCTCTTAGAACTTTACTGTGTATAAGAACTGGGAGTAGCTTTGGTCAGTGCTTCGAAAGCACTGAAGATGCGAACGATATCAGGTATGTGAAAAGCGAAATTAATTCAAATTATGTCGGTTTGATTGTTTGATTGAAATCAAAGTAGTATTCTCAAAACTGGAGGAAAAAAATCGATACGAAATTTTTCCTTACCACTCATATCGGATTGAATTCGGCACAACTAAAGTATATATATTTTGAGGCGATGAGTTCTCAACTTTCGGTCTGATATAATCTGACCTAAGTAAATTGTGTTTTTTTTTTTTTTTTTAATTCAATATGAACTTGAGATTTTTTTCGAAAATGTACCGAAATCTCTTCTATTTTACTTCCGAAAGATTCACTAATTAAAAATTATTAGTTAATTCTTTAGGTCGTCTTTTTGAGGAATCGTGCAATGTAAGGTGTATTCACTTATGCTCACACTCATAGGATTCATTCAATTATTGGTTATTCACACACATCATACATTTACATATGCTTTATGGACATACCTTGCTTCTGTCCAACTTTTTGATTATATTTAAATCAGTTTGATCCGATATCCCGCCGTGAACCACAAGTACACTATCATCAATAACGCTACCTAGTGGTAACCAACGATATACCTCATCAATGAGTTTTAATATACGTTCTGAATTATTCTACAAATTCGTGCAAAAATTCCAATCAATTAATTATTGCAATCAAATACGTATATATAAATATATTTGTGCATTGATACACGTACAATATTTACCTGATATTTTGTTTCTACTTCACGTATGAAACCGTAACGAGCATTCATAACGGAATCTTCGTGATTACCACGATTAAGGTAAACCGAATGGGGAAAAGCCAAATAACATGCCAAAAGTATTAGAAATACTTCCAATCCTTTTTTACCGCGATCCACAAAGTCCCCGTTAAAAATGTACGGGTTTTCCGGAGAAGGCAAACCATTCTATATTGAAAAAAAAGATTATAATTTATATATTAATAATATATAATATATATATTAATTCTTTTGCGTAGCTATCAAAGCAATGACCTTGAACAATAGGCGTTTTAAAGTCAAAGTTTGTGTGTCTATATCTGTCGTTTTTATAGAGCTCTTACAGCAAACATTGCAAAAGGGAGCTTGAATTGAAAGTTCCATTAAGAAAATTTAACGAATACGATTAAGGTACGTTAGGTTGAAAATTGAGCAAATCGGTTGAAGGACACACGTACCGCATAAACTTCGAATGCTTTCGTTTTTCAAAAGGAATAAAAAATAAAAAAATTTTTACTCATTACTCATCAACTACAGCAGTTAAAAGCATGAAAACTTGAATGCGGATTCTGTGGGCGTGGCTGCAGTACCTGTAGAAAAATAAAAAAAAACATTGACCACGCCTAACCAATATTAAAATTTAGTTTTTTTTTTTTCCATACCCTTTCAACGGATAAAAAAATGCTACAAAAACCGCATAAAATTTATAAATTCGTGGCCAATTTCGAATTCGAAATGTAGCTGAGGATGCTCACCTGTCCGTAGTGTGTACAGTGAGTAGTATCTGTAATAAACATCCTCCAGTCCGCAAAAATGAAGACATGAAGACATGTAAAAGAGTTTGAAAATAAACTAAGGCGGTTCAAGCACACGCCTACAACACCCACAAGCCTATGCAGTCAACATTGGGAACACTTTTAATTTTGCGTGTTAACTGCTTCTTACTCATAAAATACTACACATACATCTCATATAAATTTCCACTTTTATTTTGAAAATAAAAAAAATTAATCGCGCCCATCCAATGGTATAGAGTACAAAAATTTTTGTTTCTCTTGACTTTCATCTAACTTGGAATAATCGACATATTTCAACGAAAGATTGGTGAAAATAAATTGATAAAATTGACAAAAAGAAGTAATCGTTTACGACCTCACGATTCATAGATCGTTTGATTAATTCCTGGGGATCTTGTCAATTTTCTTTATATATATATATATATATATATATATATATATATTGAATAGTTATTATTATTATTATTATTATTATATTACAAGTAATTCATTCAACTAAAGAAAATTTTTAATAATTTGCTCACCTTATAAAAAATAACTAATAGATCGTCCAGTTTACCATGAAGATCCCCACAAATAGTGATTTGTTTCGAAATAGCTGTCGATGCGTTATGCAAATTTGGCAAATTTTTTAACCGTGATGCGGCTTCCCGTAAAATGAGTGCCACATATTTAGGATGAAGATGACTGGACTAAAGCGATTTAAAGCAAAAAATGCAACGTAAGAGAAACATTTAAGAGTTCAATAAAAGCAAATTTCATCTCAATACGAACCTTTTTTCTACGAAATGCTTCTATAAGGGCATCTACATCTTTTCCACTTATTGGAGAAGTAATTTCTGGTCCCCCATATTTATTTCCACTTCTATCGTATTCTTCCTTGTAATCTGAATCTTCAGTTAATCTTGCTTATAAATTCATACAAAAAAATAATAAATGCAATTAATGATTAATTTTAATTAGAAAATTTACCAACCCGGCGAAGCTAGAATACTAGAACGTCTTTCACCGCTTGCTTCAGCGGCAGCGCTAGGAATGTGTGTCAGTAGAGCATTAAAAAAATTGTACAGCTGTAAACGATAAAAAGTAGAAGACAACATTGAATTTCTTGAAATGATTGGCATATATCGAGTCATTTCGTTCATTGTTTAACAAACAAGAAAGGGACGTTCTTCCCGAAATCAACCTTGTTGCGCATATCACATAAGTTTATCGTGAATGACATTTTGCAGGAGATAATCGAAAAACCTCTTTTTGCTTAAAATACGCAGTGAGACGTAGTTCATTTTCAAACTGAAACTAAAAAACATTTCGACTTGCTCGTTATGAAGAGAAGAGAGGTTTCTAAAAGGGCTTATTCTGAAATTAAAATCAAAATATATCTAATTCGGAGTCAATGTAGCATAGTGCGTATGTTACGGCCTGTAGAACTCTTGTTGCCTTGTATCAGAACTTGCTAGCCAAGGTCTTTCAATTTATTTCCGACTCCTACCAAATGTATGCCTCCTAGCATTCACCTAAATTAAGCGTTTTATTTTTATCAGTTATTAAAGGCAGCAGAGAAGAAATCAATCGTCTTAAGCAGCTTATGATGAACGATTTGCCTGCAATCCCATCAAACAGAAAACATTATCTTATGTGCAATCAAAACGATATTTGCCATAGCTTTATATCCATCTTGGACAACAATCTTTTCCATCACTCATCGATTTCGTTGCGTTTCCGATGGAAGTTCATACGGTCAAATGTCTTTTTGTATCCAACATTATGCAAATCGTTTAAAACTATTCCTGGTCAATGGTTAATTTCCCCATGATGTCATAAGATGAAACGCTGCTGCTGCAGCTGCTATCTTTCTCAATTTTAGAGGAGAACTTTATCGATTTTATCCATAAATGGTTGACCGCAGAGGGTAGCACTATTTCAAAATTTAAATCTTCTGAACGGAAACGATGAAGCACTTGATTCATTTTGATAAAGCATCTTGATAAAGCATCTTTAGTAAAAAGTGCTAACAATGTTACTAGAACGGCTTGACGGGGTTAGTATTAATAGTATTATTATTATATAGGGAAAAAATTTACTAGCTTATGTAATCACTTAATATATACGCCAAGTGTATAAACAAGTCATTATTGGTCTTCCAAAATGACACGCGCTACGAAGATTTATCGAATTATGATTTTTCGATTGCTCGAAAGCAGCATTCTTAAGACTTACGTAACCATTACGTCCAATCATTCTGCTAAATAATACAAAGCAAACTTTTCGCAAATTTTGAATAAATTTAGTTTTATAACAACAACAAGAAATGTGCAAAACAAAAGTTGCTGCAGACTCAAAGCCGAATTTTCTCCCCAAACGCTATTCTATAGAATTACTTAAGTGAGGTGTTTTAAGCTGCTCCAACGTAATCGGAACGTAGCTCAACATATCAACAACATCTGGCTAACGATGATTGCTTAACTGTCTGACTGAGTATCGTTTTTTTTTTTTTGTTTTTGAATCGTTTGTACGATGCCTAAAACATGATTAATTACGTAGATAATCTCAAAGGCCATGAGATTTGTGTTCAGACAGAAAGATGAGAAAAATGCTTATCGACGGTCGACACTATTCCAGACTAAATCTTATTTATCATGCCTTGAAACAAGCGGCCGCCATTCATTAAAAATCAATTTTACATCTAATATACACAAAATATTCGTAGAATATATAATATATACAAAGATGTACATACGGAATATAATACATATACACACTGAGCATTTATAAGTTTGAAAAATGCTTGATAGATGAATAAATACGAATTTCAGGCTTTGTAAGCTTGAGAAGCGTGAACAATGCAAAGTTTCCCAATGTCTGTCTTTGTATTTCATCTTACGAGATTCCAATTAAAACTTTCATGTCACGTACACAAGATCGCACTTATTATTAGATCGTTTTTCTCAGTCTGATTAAATGGAATTATGTTTTGAGTATTTAAACATTCTCGCTCAGGTAAATGTAACAATGACTAACAATTAAAGCAAAGAAAACCTCAATAATTTTTAGCATAGCTGTCATCTTCCGCTTGAGACAGGAAACATTTACAATCGATTTTGTATTACTAGGTAAGCTGTTCTATAGCTTTATACCATTAATAAAAAAACGGTCTTGAAGATTTGGAGTACCCGTGTTTTAGTAAAATCGGACTCAATGTCAATTATTCCTGGAGATATTTAAGCTAAGTATGAAACCAAAAACAATCTCAGAATTCCAGAGAGTTGAGACATACATCCACATTTCCTCTTGTTATACACATATCTACCACACTTACTTATGATAAGCTGGCATTCGTGTTTTTGAGATATAATTAAGATACACGTTAGCACAAGATATAGGAGAGACTATAAGGCTTTTAAGCAGTTTCAACATAGTTTCACTAGGTATATAGTGAACTGAAAGCCGTAACTTGCTTAAAATGTTATGTTATCCTTACAGTTGTAGAATTAATGCGATCACAAGCTTATAACCTAGACTTCATCGTGAAACGAAGATTGAAAACAACACCGGCAAGTACAAGGTCAGTATTCGCATTACGATTACGGTTAGTTAAGTAGCATTCAGTGCACCACGTGATATAGCAATAGGGTTTGGATTTAGTTGAATTTAGTGTAGTACCTGGTTTTCATTATACCAATGGACAATGTTGTGTTCGTTCGAAAGTGTCTTACGTGAAAAATATATTCGCGCATCATTAGCATACCGACGAATTCTTGTGTTGTAACAAGTGTTGTCTCAACAAAATGGTTCCTAATATTGAACCTCGAGTTATTCCAGACGGGATTTGTCCGAGAGTAGACGGAGAGTTATTAGCTTTTACACACTGATATCTGTTCTGAGGATACGACTTCATTAACTTCATATCACACTGACCAAAAACAGAATATACAGTGCGTTTCATTAATATTGGGTTTTTCAATATAAGGAGAAATATGAAGAAAAAAACACAGCCTTGTAAGAAAAATTAATATATGGAAGGATGTTCGTCTTTCTGCTTAATAACGTCATTTAAACGTCTTGACATATTTTGTATAATTTTTCTTGTGTGAGGCGAAACAGGGATATTATCCTATTCCTCTTACAGCCTGTTTTTCAAGTGTTAGACAGATGGGATTGAGTGTTTTCGCACATCGCGGTCGAATTCATCTCACATATTTGTGATGGGGTTCATGTCTCGTAATTTGTGGAAGAGGGTGAGGCATTTCGGAGCAGTTATATAAGAGCCATTCTTGAATAAAGCGGCACTTAGGCTTGAGTACCTTGTCTTGGAGGCAATTTGAATGTTTCCAAAATATACCAAAATTACCTGTAGTTTCTTCCAAATTTCCCGTCAATATCTTTAAATAAATCTCGTTGTTTACATTGCCATCCATAAACATCAATTTTCATCAAATTCATTGGTCCAGTAGATGCGTAAGTCGTTGGTACAAGAACGTAGAAGGAAGGTAAGACGAGAATTTGCCTGGGAAAACGTTCGACGTTACCTTCACGAAAAAAATGAGCTAAGAAAAGCGTCTTCTCGTGACCAGAATTTTAACCTCGTCTCTATCAAATGCCGGACGAATAATCTCGAGGACTTTTAATATAGCAGCAGTCCGATTGGTCTACACTGATAAGATTCTTCTTTCCGGCATGTAACCCTATCTGAGTCACAATAAGCCGTCGAAAAATTTTGGATAAGGTCGATAAAATGCTTATGGGCCGAAAATCTTCTCGTTTAGCTCGACAGCTTTGTTATTTTTGTCGACAGAGATATTGATAGCGATTTTCCAACCATCAGGATAGTTGCAACTGATAAATGTGTAATTGAACATATCCGTGATAGATAAAGATTATGTTCGGCAATAGTAACTTTACGAATTTTATACTGATATTGTCATATCCGACAGCATTCGGCTTGATGGAGCAGACTGATTTCGTCGCAAAAGTATTGAACATGAATATCATTAATTATTCTCACACCAATATATAATAAAACTAATTAGCGTTACCCCTATTATTACGCTTAATATTCATAACCCATCCTATATCATTTCTTGTTACTGTCCTTGAAGCTAAAGTATATTCGAAATGGTTGGTCTTAGTCCAAGGCGAAAACAAATCTTGGCTCTTTTCAATTGTTATGCCCTACACCACTTATTTTGAATAAGTTAACTGGTCATATACATCTTGTATCGTGATTGGTAATGGCACGTAAAGGTCACTTGTATGGTGAATGATATCATATATAATAGTAGGCTGCAGTATAAGCAAAGAAGAGCAAGAATAGGACAGCGATTCGTATAACACATATGTTAATAATTATTAGCACGTCAAAAATTTTGATCATTGTTGCAGTACTGTGTCGTCATAAAGTTGACCCAAATGTGCGCCGTCATCATACTTAGGTAGACACGCAAAATTTTATTATTTACATGCAAATTGCATGCCTTCTTATATGAGCCATGGAAGAAGAAGTTTTACAAAGAAAGTAAATTATTAAAAGAACGATTCAGGCAGGCAGATGAATAAATATATATATATATATATATATACTGTCTGTATACAAACGCACACATATGTAAAAAAAGTTTCAAATTTTGGCTTTCATTTATTTCGTTTTATATTTTACACCACTTGTGATACAGGGTAAGTTTGTGCGGACGTATGTAACACGCAGAAGGGCTTAAGGCAGACTCATCTTTCATTATTCAGAATCATTTTCTGAATCGATCTAAGCCTGTCTGTCCATCTATGTATCTGATATCTGTCCATGTTAATTTGTGTTCAACTTGCAGATCGAAACGCTATTGAAAATATTTTGGAGTGAAATACTTCTCTGGCCGACCCTCATATAATGTCTTAGTTTGAAAAGTCGTTATATGAAAAGTCGTTAAATGATAATTTTCAAAATTTGTCGTAAAAATTCGCTGAATAATAGTATTTCGATATTTTAAACAGGTATGAGAAAGTTAGTTCGGTTCGGGAAATTTTTTGAAAACCCTCTCATATAACCGTTCTTATGGAAAGTACGGTTTTACATGGCAAAATAATAAATTGACATCGAAATCAACATTACCGAATTTGGCCCTCGGACATCTATTTTTTGGACATCATCGCATATAAGAACTCCCATGCAATTTAAACTCATGTATACCAAAAAAGCCTAATTGCTAACGTTTTACGATGAAACTTTGCTCATTATATCAATTTAACATAAAAATTTAATGAATCAAATTAAAAACAGATGGGTCTGTTTCTTAGACCCCATTTCATGTAAGATTTCTCGAATATAGTAAACCCTTAAGAAGAAGATTTAATCTTTGACATTTTATAATGAAAATGGATCTATAGTAACGAATGAGCAAAAAAAATTAATGGCAGGCAATTCGGATCACGTAGGTCTATTTGTTAGATCCCAACGCACATATAAAGGTTATCATGAAAATCAAGCTCTTATGTGAAGAAAAAGAAAAAAAATAAGACTTTTAGGAAGTAAATGAAGGTTGTTAAATTTGGATCACTTCATGCGATGCTTTGAGCATACTCCAGGATACGAGCCTTCATGAAAAACATGCCTTTGCATGAACACAATGTATAATCTTTGGTGTATTATAACCAAAACGGGTGAATAGCTGTACTAGACCAAATAGTCTAACGTATCGAAGGGTCTACCTTGCTCGACTATAATGTTCTTACTTGCTTTTCTTTTATAAAATTTTCGCCTAAGCTTTAAAAATCGACTAAAGAGTTCGCCTACAATTGCCCAAAAGGCGTACATGAATAAAGTGAAACATGTAAACATGGATTTTGAATTTTGCCATGTGGTATAAAAAAGTATGATTTAAAACATTTACCACATGTCAAGATTATATCGAGGGAAAGCAAGCATCCTTCCTTCATCGGCCAATCAAATATCGTACATCTGCCACTAATGAGTACAAAGATAATCTAATTGCCTTGTATTGTTACCAAAACGAGTGAATAGCTGCACTAGGACAAGTGGTGTAATGTTTCTAACGTTCGGCGTTGCCCGACTTTCTGGCCTTCTTATTTGCTTTCTTTTCTTTTTTTCAATCGGCAATTGACTACAAAAGCAACTAACTTAAGCTATTACATGCCCTTTTATTAAGACATAATCTCTTAATTAGAAGAAAGGAGTATAAACGATTTAGAGGTTTCCGAATCATTTCCGATATTCCGCAAATTAAACGCTATTAACCACCACAGTACATATTTACATGTTACAAATATCGTTACCATGTATTGAATATTGAAACCTTATAAACGATTGGCGCGCACCATACATACAAAGCATAGTTCACAATAAACCGCAATATAGACTTGAGAAAAAATCTATTTGCGATTTTAAATAAAATTTGTACATTTTCTCAAAAAAAAAAGCGAAAAAAATAAATAAAAAAACTTGAAGTTGAAAAAAAAAAAAGAGGAAGAAAAACTTATTTAAATTTTTGACTTTTGACATTTGCTGAAAATCTTGTCATAAAATTGTAAATACGAACCTCAACTTGATCTTGTTCACCGGCATATTCTAGAGTTGTAAAAATTTCCCACGTGTAACGGCGTTTGATTTCCATACGCGCTTGATGACGACGATACCATCGCTGTATGAGTATAGCGGCTTTGATTGCTAAAAATGAATGCATAAAATAACATATATATATATATATATATATATATTGTTGATAAAATAATTTCGAGTAAGAAAAAATTGAGAAACTTTTTTTACTTAAGTTTAATTCTTTGTTTTCTATTGTGGGACGTATTTAAGAAAGTTTTGGCTCGATTGCCAAATTCAATACAAAATAGAGTAAAAAATCATTTCCTTCAGGGCTTTTTCTTTTTTTTTATTTATTACAGTTGTCATGCATTTTGTTCTTAAGTAATTTATTATTTAGATTTTAAATGTGGGTCATTGAAGCAAAATTTGAATAATTTTTTTTTTTTTTTTTTTTTTCTGATACCACATATTAAAATCGTAACGTGCGTTACAGAAAAAAAAAAAAAAAAAATAAGCAAAGGAAACTTTATTATTCGCCATGAAAGCAATTTTTAATATATAGAAAACTTATATTAAAATCAAGAAAATCCTCAATAAGTAATGGCAGCTAAGTGGTGTCAATACTTTTTATTGTAAAATGTAGCGAGACTTCAATAATTTACCATGGGATGTAAAACATACGAGATTTGAATAAATATATTAACTAAGAATCAAATATTGCCACAAACAATTTTGCTTATATAACGACTTTTTGCCCGATCGATTAAATCTACGGCAATAAAAAGTTACAAGCACAATAGTTACATTCTCCTTAATGCGCATCTTTCATTCCTACGATTTTCAAATAATTATAAAAATATATTAAGGATATTGCCACGAGTTTTATCTAAAAAAATGAAATTCCGATACTTTATAATATTGCGGAGGTACATGAACGACTTTTTGCTTTTTACAAATTGGTACCACAGGATCGCCAATAATAAAAGGGGCAATAACTTTATTGCTGGTTGGGTTGTATTTTATAAACAGTGAAAACAGCAAAAAAATGCATTCCTTTTTATAGCCTCTATCGTTTATGGTGTATTAAGCTGGTGCGCACGTATGTAACAGAAGCAGAAGGAATTAATATAGATTCGCCTTTGATTTAGAATCATTGTCTGAATCGATATAAACTTATTTCTAAACGTCTCTCTCTCCTCCTCCTCCTCTCTCTCTCTCTCTCTCTCTCTCTCCCAATTTCTTTCACTAGTAAAAGCAAGCTCTTCAATGTCGACAAAGCCGAATGTGTATACGGTAGCAATTGGAAAATAATGAAATCTTTGACAAGTCAGGTAAGTTTGTTAAATTTAGACCGCGTTAGTGCTTGAGCATCCGCCGATTTGAGTGCTTTTATGAAAATAATGCATTTACATCAAAATAATGAATAATTTTTGGTGTATTATATAATTAAGCAAAACGGTGTACGGTATCTAACGGTCACTCTTGCCCGGATATAGAAATTACAAAGTACTTTGCTAATTGCCCATGGTTTACTGGATCAGGTTTATTCCTGATCTGATAACATTGATGGTAAACTATAGATTAATAAGTAGCAAGTACTACACAACCATGCCTATTATTGGCATACTTGTCACCTATTTCCAAACTGCATGCATGCGTTCATGCATAAACGTTCATTTTCCATACTAATGTCTGCAAATTTTGATTGCTGCAACCGGGGGCCAGGGAACCGGCGGAGTGGCGGTCGTGCCGGCAGCAGCTATTTGGATCTCATGAGAATATTTGGTTCTAATGCGAGTTACGAACGTCTAAATAATATAAAAAAACATAAATCTGTTTGCTTTGACTACGACTTGATTTGACTGAGGGAGAGACAGTCAAACCGGGGTAAATCGATTCCGCAATTACAGTTCATCAAAGTGATTAAGAATTCCAATCTTTATTACTTTTCTTTACAATCAAAAAAAAAAAATTAAAGATGAAAGCAAGCAATCTTATGATATTGGACAAGCAAAAAGGAACAAGTGAAGAAAATCCTTGAGCGGATTTCGAATGTTTACCTCTTTGAGCAAATATATATAATATGAAAATGAAAATTTTCCTTTGTTTGTAGTTAGCCGATCGGAGTTGTTTTCGTTGGTCATTTTCTAAAATCATTTGCGCCAAATTTTAAACTAAAATTTCCTACTTTTTGAACATAAAAAAATAAATTATTTAAAAATTTTGTAATTGTTTTTTTCAAGTTCTTACCAAAGTCAACTGTGGGCGTGGCCAAGTTTTAAATAATTATAGGAAAGCTCTTAAACTTTAAATGACTTGTTGTCAAGGCATGGCGCGCAGCATAATTTAAACAATTTTCAATTTTTTTTGTTAAAATTTTGTGTGTGGAATGTTGTTTAGAACAACATGCTCTAGGGAAATACGTAAAATTCTCTCGACAAGTTAATTTTAATATTTTTATATTCTACACTACTTATGGTGCAAGAGCATTTTTCACATTTTTTTACTTTACACCACTTATGGTATAAGTGCATATTAAGTTTTTGCGGATGCATTCAAGGAAGGCAGCATTTTTTATTCGCCTTATTGGCACGAACTTTGAGCATCCTTCGTCTCGGAAAAATTGGAAAAAAGCTTAAAACTGTCGATCAAGTATGAGAAATATTTTTGGTAAATTTCAAATCAATATGTGCTTTAGATTCCGCATCTTGATAACAACATTGCTATATTTATTTATTATTATTTTATTTATTTTTTTTCATTCTCTTATAACAATTGCATGTTTAATGCGTCCATTCTCAAGCTTGACAATCAGTTAGTCTTTTTTAAGAATACATGCATCAAGCGTAGAGTGAGGTCCATGGGTAAGTTAGCTCCACATCTCGGAAGAACGAAACATATTATTACATATTACTGACATGGTAGCAAAGTGCTTTGTTACTGCTTTTAGCTTGTAAGTATAGCAAAAAATGAGAAAACTGTATATACCTCTTCCTCAGTACTTGCCAAATCTATCGCGAACATTTTCACTGCAGCTAATTCCCTAAGCATTTCCAAATGTTCGTTCAAGCATGCAGAAATTTCTTTGATCTGAAAAAATATATTTTGAAAATGATTGTCTTTGAAAATATCGGCAGGCAGTCGGACGACTGATTTGACTAAAATTTATGGCACCAGGTTGAGAAGACGTGTTACCAGTAAATGCATTAAGCGATAAAAATATTTGAAATTTAAGGGAACGAAATTCTAAATGACTGTGGGTAAATTCACCCATCCACTTGTCCGACCGCCATTTTGCCTGGTCGCTTGCATTTGAATTCCTCGATTTGGCGCATAAGTTTCGGGCTATTACCTTCGATCTATATGGTTTGATAGAAGAACTTCTCAATTCCATAAAAATCCTACGTGTACAAATAAATGCGATCAATTCTTTAACACGTGTCCGGTTAAAGAGAGAGAGAGTTGGTCCACAAGATGAGCACTTGAAACTAAGTCTATAGCTAGCTAGCTTTTACCTGCTTATTTTTGGTATCATTCCGCAATCAATGTATGACCAATTTCTAAAGGCGTAATAAGCGTAAATAACATAGCGTTCTTCAAGTCTTCAAAGGACTCGGATTGGATTTAAAATAAATAAATGTATATGTTAATTGCGCAAAAAAAAAAAAAGAAAAAAAAAAAAAACAAATCCGCTTCAGTTTATGCTTACCGTTTATAGGATCAGTCTTTTTTGGCTTGGGTGCTATGCAACCCATCATTTTGTGATTAAAAAAATTTAGTTTAGCGAAAAAATCTATTCGGAAACTCATCGAGTTCATAAGTGTGTGGAAAAAAAAAACACAAATAAATTCTTCTATATATTAACTAAACGCCTTCATGGCACAGAGTCAAGATTGATGCAAACGGCTGTTTTCATTTATTTGTTATTGCTTTTTTTATTTATTTAATTTTTTTTCTTACTTTCTCTGCTACTTTTAATATTTATTAATTTTTTTTGCTTTTCATTCTGACAAAATTTTTGTTTTCAAACTTATCAACATCAAAATTTTCTCGTCTTTATTTCTATTCTCTTCATTTTTAAAAGTATACATTCGATGCGAGAATTTTGAATATTATAACATATATATATATATATATATATCGATATTCGAATTCTTTATTTCATTATATTTTCTATTAAATTATTTTTATTCACTTGGAGCGGAAAGCTCTTTGTATAAATATATATACATTATATATATGTATATATAGAATATATATAATGCACTTAAGGGCTTCAAATTGTCCTTATTATTATTATTGTTATTTGTTTTTTTTTTTTTTGTTTGCAAATTTTAAAACGAATGTTCTTTGCTCATCATCAACTCAAGACTACGAAATTTACTTTGAAACTAACTGTTTCAGTAGCGCTTTAATTGAAAATAGACCCGTCGTGTTCTTTCTTTACCTTGTTTTTTATTTTTTTATATTTTTTTTTTTTTTTTTTTTTTTTTTCTTTTTTAGTTTATGGCCTTTATTGAAGAATGTTGAAAGTATGTTCAGTTTGCCACACTTAATGCTTATAAGTATTAAGAGCAATGAAAATGCATGAATTAAGATAAAGAGTTCGTACTCAGTTATAAAGTATATATTTACGGATCGGATCGATTGGTTTTAACGAGAAAAAACGATAAAAGGAATCTTTCAAATAAAGAAAGAAAAAAAAAAAAAAAAAATACTAACACATTTTATTGAAAATTATCTTGAAACAACGGCTAACAAACTCCAGGATTCCAGGAGTATCGTAAATTCCACTACATACACACACGTAATATATATATATATATATGAACGTGTATATGCTTGCCATGTATCCAAGCGCATTTCATCTATCATGTTATGTTTTATATGAACAACGTTTTCATTATGCTGTAAGTACGCTAAGTTAAGTCGACGTTTTTACATTACAGTTAAGAGGTCGAAGTGCTTAGATTTATTAAGAATATTATGCTTGCGGAATACTTTGCATAGAAGGTATTAAAAGATTCGGTTTAAGCTGCGTACGTTTTCTTCTCTATTTTTTGTTTTTCGTTTTATTTTTTTATATTTTTCTAAATGACAGTGGTTAACAAGTGTTGATATTATACCTA